AAAAAAAAAAAAAAAAAGATTTATTGCCATAGGGTACATGCGCTAGCCAGAGAAAGATAGAGGGAAAGTGAGAAATCATCCTCCAGGGAGAACGGCCATGCCACAATCCCTTCTCCTCCATTCCCCTCTTGGGATTTTGGGCACACAGAATCATGCACCTGGCATGTTTTTTCATGTTGCTGGGACTGGACTCGAACAGCAGAGTCAGTCCTGTGGGATCCAGTGCCTTAACCACCATTCCACCTGTTGGCCCAATCTTAACTTTGTTTTTTTTTTTTAATTTTATTTTTAAAGTTTTTTTTTTTTTTTTTTTTTTTTTTACCATAGGGCATGTGTGCTTGCCATTGAGAGACAGAGAGAGACACAGAAAAGAAAAGTGAGAAATCACTCCCCAGGAGGATGGCCATGCCACAATCCCTTCTCATTTTGCTCCTGGATTTTGGACATGCACGCACTTATGCCTGGCATGACTTTCAAGCCACTGGCTTCAAAACTGGAACCACAGTCGACCGTCTGGGAATCCAGTGGTTTAACCACCATGCCACTTGCATGAGAGAGTCTTACAGGTCCTCTCTGTATTCTGGATATTAATCTACCAGATACATTTCCTGTAAATACTTTCTCCCATCCCTGGGTTGCCATTTTACTGCTGATAGTGTTTGTTGTTGTTGTTGTGTTAAAGGCTTATTTACTTCAAACGATTATCTGAGTGATCGCCAATGCCACTATGTACAGACAAGAGAGGGGGAGCTTTATTTCTTGGTCTCTTCCTCCGTGGACAGAGTCTTGAGGATCTTTTCCTTCTTGGTGTCCCTCATGGCGCTTGAGTGCTTCCTTGGTCTGAGACCTGCAGGCCTCAGTCCGGTCTCTCCGGGAGCTTCTTGTGGGCCTTGTCTGCCTTCAGCTGTGGATGTGCTCCATGAGACTCTGCTTGTTCGTGAACATATTCCCCTCCACCTTTAGGTACAGGCTACGATACGTGTGGTGATCAGTCTTCTTAGACTCAGGGTATCTTCTGAGCAGTCAGCACAGAATCGTCATTGTCCTCATCCAGGTTACCTTCTCTGGCATTCTAGCATTGGCTGTACCCTTTCGCTTATCTATGCCCATACGCCTGCCCTTCCAGCGGGCCAGTGTGTTTTTCCGGTTTTGAAATGGGCAGTCGTAGGCTTGCAGAGGATCAGTCCATCTTTGGTCAGCTTCCAGACATGCTGACGGGAGTTGGCATTTGCAGTTTCATTGGTCTCACTGGGATCCAACCAGACCTTCTTTCAGCCACAATGGAGGATATTAGAGGCAAGCCTCTTCTGAAGCCTGAGCATACTCATGGATGCAGCTACAGAGGTGAAAGGAAAGAACTTTAAAAAAAAATTTAAGATGGAACCAGCAGTCGGTGTAATGGCTGCATCATTGGACTCTCATGTAGTCCACTGCGGTTTGAGTCCCAGACCCAGTGGCTTAAACTCACACCAGGTATGTGTGTGTGCGTGCCCAAGATCCCAAGAGGAGAACAGAGAAGGGATTGCGGTGTGGCCATCCCCCCGCCCTCGAGAGGGTGATTTCTCACTTTCTGTCTCTCTGTCTCTTTCTGTCCTTCTGGTGAGCGCACGTGCCCTATAGCAAAAATCTCTCTCAAAAAAAATATTTTTAAGAGAGATTTTTGCTACAGGGTGTGTGTGCTCACCAGAGAGACAGAGATACAGAGGGAGAAAAAGTGAGAAATCACCCCCTGGGAGGATGGCCACACTGCAACCTCTTCTCCTCCATTCTCCTCTCAGGATTTCGGCCACACACACACATGCCTAGTGTGAGTTTCAAGCCTCCATGTCCGGTACTCACTGTGATGGGTCATGTGGGAGTCCAGCGCCACAATCACTATGCCGCCTGTTGGTCCTCAATTTTACTCTTTTGCAATATGGATATCCAGTTTTCCCAGCACCATTTGTTGAAGACTGTGTTTTATTTATTTATGTATTTATGTATTTATTTATTTATTTATTGCTGTTGAATGGTCTTCATATCCTTGTCGAATATATATATATATATATATATATACACACACACACATATATATATATACACACACACACACACACGAAGGCTCATATTTGGGCTCTCTATTCTTTTTTTTTTTTTTAAAGAATTTTTTTACTTACTTCTTTATTTTTTT